CTTTTTTGAGTTGGAGTTTCACTCTGTCGCCCAGACTGGAGTGCAGTGGCCGCTTCCGGCCACCGCAGCCTCGACCTGCTGGGGCTCCGGCGATCCTTCCACCTCAGCCTTCCAAGTAGCTGGAATTACAGGCATGCGCTACCACGCCCGGCTGATTTTTTGATTTACTGTAGAGATGAGGTCTCGCTACCCAGGCGGGTCTCAAACCCGCGGGTTTAGGCAATCCACTCACTTCAGTCTCCCAAAGGCGCGGGATTACAGGGTGAGCCACCGAGCCCAGCTTCTATTTATATCTATTTAGTTGGTTCAACTATTTAAGAGCTGTCTGGCATATTTGCGAGGCTAATGCAATAAAGACTATTCTCTGCTGCAGTTAGAACTGAGGGCATCTCAAGTCCCGGATCAATCCCGACGTAGCTATTTTTAGTGGGTTTTGGGGGATAGAGGTTTGTGTCCTACAGAGAAGAGGGCTTCTTCTTCATGTTACTCCCTGAGAGGAGCCCAAAGCAATTATCACCCAAGGAAACCATTTTTGGCCCGTTCTCCAGGACCGAAGACTTAAAAATGCCTTGGCTTCCTTTCCCTGTCACATGTGACCGATGGCAGTGCATTCCAGTCATTCAAAGTCCTCAGGGCTTGAGAAAAAGAAAAGAAAAAAGGTATCATAATCTCCAGCCTTGTGCTGAAAGGTCACCTCTGTTTACTCTCATGTCCCCAAACCCACCAGAAGAAGACACAGATGCTCCACCGAGTACGAAGTTAATTACCAGTTCCAGTTCTCATGGCAACATCTGTCCTCTCCCAGGGACAGGAAACCTTTACCATACCAGCATCAGTCCTCTGCAAATACACTTAGAAACTGAACATTACAACGGAACATTATCTTGTCTTTCAAAAACAGTCTTTTCATTGTACTAGTTGTTCTTGTTTTGGCTAATTACCAAGTTTGGGGGTGTGGGGAGAGGCTCTGCCTTCAAAAGCATCATCCCCCTGTAGATTTGGAGCCTGCGAGTGGGAGGAAATTTCAGGTGTCCTGGCCTGGTCTGCTCATTTCACAGAGACTGAGGCCCCTTGTCCCACACCCTTCCAACAGCCACAGGCAAAGCAGAGCCTGGCCCTCTGACTCTGCAACCTCCGCCTTTCCGTGGGAGGGTCTAGCTCCCCTTTCCTTATTGATTGCCAGAAGTTTCTCCCTTTGTTTCAGTACTTGTGTCTTCCCGAGGGCTCAAAATGTCACATTTAGTTCTGCTCCTTTCGTCCCATCTCCCTCCATCTGCATGGTAAAAATCAGTTCCCTGGAGAAGTCACTAGTTGGGTTTATGATTTAAACACAACACCCCCAGGCATTTAACAAGGATAAAGACTCTGGAGCTAAAAGAAAAACAGTGATGTGGCAGAATTTCAGGCATCAAGAAACAAATGGAGGCATGCAAGGGGAAGAAAAGTTCCCCTTGGGCACCTGCAACTTGTGTCATGTAAGGCTCTCCCTGTTCTTCACGGCTAAATGTGCCTTTCTGGGCATGAGTGGTTGAACAATACTTAAGTCAACATGAAATTGACAATTTTTTCTTTATTTACTCTATGAAAAGCAGGAAACCTAAGATCAGAGAGGGTAGGAGACCAGCCCATAGAATACCCGGGTGACAGGTGCTGATGGATTTGAACCCGGGTCTGGGCCCCCTACCTTGCTGCCTCCGAGAGAGTGGGCGTCATAGATCCAGGCCACACGAAGTAGCCCTTGCTGTTGCCAGTGGAGGCCCGATTTGAAGTCCCGGTGGGTTGGGCCCTCCTCACTCACCCACCAGCTCTGATGTCATGGACATTGATTCCTCCACTGCAAATGCAAATAAGTCTGGCCTCAGGATGTGCCCTCGTGCAATTAACAGAAACCACACTAGGTGGAAATGCTGGGCAGACTGCTTGGTGCCTAGAGCTCTCTGAGGAGCTGCTGTGGGGACAGGACAGCTCCATCCTTGGGATTGCCTCGGGGTCTTCCAGGCACACATGCTGGGACAGAGCCCCAGCCCAGCTGTCAGCAGCTACAACCACCATCCCCATGCCAGCTGCTCGGAGCCAAAGACACCAGAGGTGGACTCTTTAGTCCCTCTGTCACCTCCAACTGAGCTACATGCCTTGGAATATGCACCCCACCTTGGTAATACAGAATATTAGGAGGGCAGGGAATGGCAGCCTCTGAACTGCAGCACAGCCTCTGACAGGGTCTCTTATGTGTATACAAATGAGATGTGAGTGGGTTTCTTTTCTTTTCTTTTTGAGTTGGAGTCTCACTCTGTCGCCCAGGCTAGAGTGCACTGGCACACTCACGGCCACCCCAGCCTTCCTAGTAGCCAGAGCTACAGACGTGTGCTACCACGCCCAGCTAGGTTTTGATTTATTGTAAAGATGAGGTCTCGCCAAGTTTCCCAGGCTGGTCTCGAACCTGTGGGCTCAGGCAATCCACTTGTCGCTGCCTACCAAAGTGCTGGGATTACAGGCTGAGCCACCGAACCCAGCTGTGAGTGGGTTTCTTATGCACATAGTGGGAGAAGTCAGTCAGGTGGTTTAGAATTAAGAAGCAGGCCCACAGATTGTACCAGATGGATCAAAGTGATGTCCCTGGTGGCATGCCACAGGGCTCAGTACTTAGCCATGTCCTATGAACTTTTGTCTTAATCTCTGCTATATATGAAAATATAAGGGCAGATTCACAGAGTGGATGAGAGTGGGCTATTTATTTATTTTTGAGTTAAGGTCTCACTTGGTTGCCCAAGTTGAAGTGCAGTGTCATAATCATGACTTACCACAGCCTCGACCTCCTGGGCTCAGGTGATCCTTCTGCCTCAGCCTCCCAAGTAGTTGAGACTACAGGCACACACAACAATGCCTGACTAATTTTTTGATTTTTTTTTTTTTTTTGTAGAGATGAGGTCTCACTGTGTTTCCTAGACTGGTCTTGAACTTCCAGGCTCAAGGGACTGTAGGCATGAGCCACCATGCTCAGCCGAGAGCAGCTTTTAAAGTAACATTGGAATCTTAGCTTTGCCCTTCGGTTGTGTGACCTTGGCAAAGTTACTTAGCTTCTCTGAGTTTCTGTTGCCTCTCTTATAGGGTCATGCGGATTAAATGATAAAACATGTGTGGCTGACATACAGAAAGCAGTCAATAAATGGTATGGGAACTGCGTATTGCATTTGTGAGTAAAATGGTGTTGGGAGTATAGGTGAGTGTGATTCCTCTGGGTATAAGGGTCCCAAAATATCGAGTGACTCAGATAAATGGGGAAGGTCCAATACTTAATTCCAAAAAATAAATTGCACGTATGCAAGCTGCAGTCATTTGACTTAACAGCAGCCTGTGTAATAAGACTTCGGGTTTAGCCGGGCTCAGTGGCTCAGCCTGTAATCCCGCACTTTGGGAGACTGAGGTGAGTGGATTGCCTGAGCCCGCGGGTTCGAGACTCACCTGGGCAAATTGGCGAGACCTCATCTCTACAATAAATCAAAAAATCAGCTGGGCGTGGTAGCGCATACCTGTAATTCCAGCTACTCGGAAGGCTAAGGCAGAAGGATCACCAGAGCCCAGCAGGTCGAGGCTGCGGTGGCCGGGAGTGGCCACTGCACTCCAGTCTGGGCGACAGAGTGAGACTCCAACTCAAAAAAAAAGACTTCGGGTTTTTGTTGATAGTAGCTGGTAACCACCAACAAAGAAATCTTTCCAGCTTGAGTGGTCTCAGTCTGCCTGCCCAGTCAAGCAAGAACCCAGAAACCTATTGGGTGAGCTGGGGATTCTGGCCTGGAAAACCAGACACAGCACAAGCCCTCATCATAGAAGATGATACTGCCTGACTCTGTGTGGTTTCAGCAGAAAGAGGAGCCGTGCCGTGGGGAAGCTGAGGGAGGGAAGAAATTGCAGGCAGGTAGAGCTGTCTAAAGATGGCCTGGACAGTCATGTCCTGACAGTGAGCTCCCCGCTGCTGGAGATGGCAGGAATCTGTAGAAAGGAGGAGGCACAGATCAGCCTCTGGGGTTCAAGGACTCTGATTTCTAATCACTCACCCGGGAGAGACTGAAGCTTTTCTCTGACGTTAATTCTTGCCTCCTGCTTCAGCTGTGTTATCACCTTGTTAAGAAGGCTGATGAGGTTGCAGGAGGTCATGTGATAGAATTAATTTGTCTTGCCTGGGCTCCTCAAGACTCGTAGACTGGAGTGCAAATCCCTAGAGGCCAATGCCCGAATGGCTTTTAATCAGGCCAATCAAACTTCAAGCCCTGGAGGTTTTAAAAGAAAGGAGAATATTCCCAAACACATTCCTAGTCTTATTCCACATGATTCAATAAACACCAGACTCTGCTGATGTGACTTGTGCTTGTATAAAGTTGTGGGCACCTGTCCTAGGCATGCTCACATTTTTCACTCTGAATTGCACAGGTTTTTCACTCTGAATTGCATTACAGGAGAGAGGGGCTAGAGTTTGGAAATAGGCAGAGTGGACGTGGACTTTCGTTGAAAATACTGTATGAGTTATTTGAGCTGTGTGTGGAGGGCCAGGCTGGTTCTGTTCTATATTCCAGGGCCCGCCTCTTAATCAGTAGGTCCCTGGGAAAGCTGACAGACAAGCACAGAAACAACCATCCAGGTATTCTGATTGCTGCACACAGAGGGGGAAGAGAGGTTCGGGAAAGTCTCTAAGGAGGTAGCCTTAGATCTGGCCTTAGAAGATAGGATTCAATAAACAGAGATGTGTTGGAATCAAAATCCTTGTTCTGGAATCATTGTGTGAAAACAGCTGCTATGGCTTGAGATGGCAAGCGCTGGGACCTGCCCCACCCTGTGCTCTGATGAGGACCATGCAACATTTGACACCACCTCCCCTGCCCTTCACCTAGCCCATGCACAGTGACTGGACATGAGCTACCTTCCTTGGTAAAAGGAAAGGCCACATTTTCCCCCAAAACCAGCATCTGCTGGAGGTGAACGGAAGCGGGGAACCCATGGGATGAGGATGTGTGACAGTGGCTTTCCTTATTAAGCAGGACATCTGACCAGCTCACTCCTGACTGTGTCCAGGAGGTGGACGAGCTTGAAATCAATTCAGCCTGCTGCATATTTGATTTCCTAGGACCCACTCGCCATGCGAGGAGACATTGGCAGCACTGCAGCCCAGAATCGCCATGGAGACCAGGGGACGGGCTGCATCCAGGCAAAGCTTCTTCACCGACCAGGGGCCCGGCAGGTAACCAATCGGAATCGGTCTCAGCCTTCACCTGGGAAAGGGGGTGCAATTCAGAGTGAAAAGCATGTGCACCAAAAGAAGGCAGAAGAAGGGTTATGTGGGGGGTGGAAGAGAGAGGGTCCGGAGCAGAACAGCCCGAAAACTATTCACGAGTAATTTCCTCTTGGGTCAGGTGTCTTGAGCTCAGGAAAGTCTAAGAACAACACCTTGATCTGAAATCGTTTTAATCAAAACTGACATTGAGGTTCTTGCCCAGTTCTGGAAGAATTCAGAATGAAGCCAACCAGGGGAGGTGGGGCGAGCAACCAGCCACGGAGACTGCTGGGTGGACACAGTGGTATGCTGAGAGCCATGTGGGTGCAGTTTCAAATAGCTCTGGCAGGGTCCTGCAGGTGTCCCTCCGGACGCCACAGCAGACATCCTTGCAAAAGCATGTGAAAGATTAGCGAGTCTCCAAGCTCAGTCTCTTTCTGATGATATCTGTACCCCGGCTCCAACAGCTGCCCCCCCTCGAGGAAGTCATTTCACCCTTTCAAGTCTCATCTAGACACGCATCTCACAATGCCTACTTCACAGGTGGCTTGAGGTCTGTGACAGAGCTAAGTGCCAACTCATCACAGGTGCTCAACACACATTGGTCTCATTGGACTTCCTTCCATCATGTTTTTTTTTTTAACCAATACCATAGATTTCTGTAGTCATGCTTCTTCTGCTTTGTACTTAAGATTGTTGTTTAAAAATTTACTTATCTATTTATTCTTCAGACTTTTCACTGTGGAAGGTGCTATTCTACCATTTTTTAACTAGTCCATGGGAGCTAAGCATTTAAGTGATGTTTGGTATTTTTGTTGTACTAATAAAGCACTATCTTAAAGCTCTTTGGTTGCAAGGAGGAGAACACCTAGAAATCATCTCAAATGAAGAGGCTTAGGAAGGGCTGGTACCAGTATGGTACAAGCTAGCAAAACAGGTTATCTCATGGAGGGGAGCTAGGAAGGCAGCTGCCTCTTTCTCTCATTTTCTCATGGAGTTTTGTAGTCTTTGTGATTTGTTTCTATGTCTCCTGCAATCTAGCTTTCTCTGTTTGCACATCAGCAGGCACTAGATGGAAGATAGCCTTCACCCTATGATCTTGAGTTGACACACGCAACTCCATCTTCAAGTGGCCCGTAGTTGAAAGACTTGAGTGATCACTGTGGGGGCAGTGTCCATCTCTGATCCTGTTGGCTGAGGCTGGAGAGGGGAGTATGACCTAGGTTCTCCCCCCTCAGCAAAGGAAGGGTATGGGTGGGGGAGCAGCTGGAGCAGAGAGGTTGGACTGAGCCAACACCTCAAAATATGTCTGCAGGGACAGCTATAAGTATCTATCTACCTGGGGTATTGTGTTGCTTCTATGTATTCCCTTAGGCTAAGGTCACACGTGTGTGATAAGGGTCAAGGTATATGACAATTCCCAGCTTAGTTCCAGGTTATTCAGTACTGACTCTAACTGGAGATACCCTGCTGGTAGAGGGCCCTGCAGATGCCAAGTCAGAGAATCCAGAAGAGGAGAAACAGAATTGAGTCTCCGTTTCCATTCCCCTGTGGCAGAGACACGGGAGGCAGCAGGCAGGGCTGAGTTTGGGTTCATGGCGAGCTCTTGGAAGGGTCTGGCTCCAGGAGAAGAGTCAGGGCAAGTTTCAAAGGAGCTTCTACACAAGCCTGGAGAGAAAACTGGAGTTTGTAAAAGAAAAAATAAATAAAATAAGGTCTGGGGAAAGATTCTAGGTTGTATCCAGATGCTTCTTTCTTTAAGCCTTGCTCTAAATTTTATAATGATTTGAAAACTCTGTTGGTCATCTCTGCTTCTGTGTGGTCCTCAGTGAAAGAGGGTTGGGGGGGGTCTGTTTATTTCCTTCTCCTTCCTCTCCTGCTTGGCACCTCTTGTGTCACCTTCCAGGGTGTCACGCTTCATTGTCTCTCTGCGCGCATGGGGATCCAGGCATGTACACCACGAGGATCAAGGACGCGACTCTTTTCTGGACCGTTTCCGCGGAACCGAGCTCCAGGAGGTATCCAGCCGAGAAAGCGATGTCCAGGCCAACGCGGGCAGTCAGGAGCCACCAGACAGAGGAAAAAGGTAAGGTACCCAAAAGAAGGAAGAGCCACCTGCAGCAGGCGGGGCAGAGCAGAACACATCTGCTTTTCTGGATCCTGCCTGGATGCCCTACAAGTGGCCCTGAGCACCATTCCAGTGAGCCACTTCCTAAACAAGGTGTTTGCCTCTGGGGGAGAGCTGCCTGCTCTAACAGCCTCTGCTCAAACCCGTAAGGCCTTGTTAGAGAGGCAACCCTTGAACCAGAGTGCCCAGCTCATGTGACCACTGATGTCATCCCACATGAAGCTCTGGCGATGGCCCCTGGAAACAGCGTTCTCAGAAACTCAGCTGGAAACGCTCTCCCCATCAAAGAACTCAACCTAGACTGCACTGTGACACATCTTGCTCAAAAACAGGGCTTTGCATACCATGAGCCTCGGTGGGTACCTCAGTGGCGCCCCCAATTTTATGGGGAGGCATACATGCATTTTTCTGGGAAGGAGGTCCACTGGTAGGCCAGAATTTTCAAGGGGAGTCATCCAAGTCCCAAATCAGGTGGGGGAGGGGAGACAATAGTTGAGGGTAGAGTGGGAGGATGGGAAGAGTGCTTGCTTTTTGGTAGGAGGATCTGCAGAACCAGGGCCTGTGCGTCTTCCTGCATGGCCCTCATCCCGACTGGGAGACAGACCTGCATGTGGGGCTGACGCCTCCCATCCCAGATGCACACACGTGCACTCAGGGCTGCTGCCTCCCCTTTTCTCTTGTTCTCAACAAGCCTCCCCAGCAGGGGATCTGCAGAGAGCCTGTGAGGCCAACAAGGGTTGAATCAATTGTCTCCCAGCAGCAAGGGTCTCTTTAGGACACTTGGGTCAGTCTGGAAGAGAGGAGGGGTAAGAGGTGGAGGGGAAATTAACCTCCACTTGGCTTTGGCCTCAAGAATGGGTGGACTCTCCCCCAGAATCTGTGCGAGGGAGGAGTTGAAGAGCTCTCTTTTGGCTGAATCCTCTCGATAATGCTGAGATTTATAAGATGTGTAGATGGAAATGAGCAGGGTTGTTGCAGAACAGACAGTCCCTATGTAATTTTCCAGAGAAAATGCCATCTGTTTTTATGCCAACGAGGAGAAGATGGGCTTCTCAACTGGACAAGTGCAGGCCCCTGGGGCGGGAAGATGATGAAGTCTGGGGGAAAACACAGTGAATCTTCCTGGGCTTCCTTTTTTTTGGGGGGGGTGGTTTTGAGTTGGAGTCTCACTCTGTTGCCCAGTCTGGAGTACAGTGGCCGCTCCCAGCCACCGCAGCCTCGACCTGCTGAGGCTCCGGCGATCCTTCCGCCTCAGCCTTCCAAGTAGCTGGAACTACAGGCGCACACTACCACACCCGGCTAATTTTTAAATTTATTGTAGAGATGAGGTCTCACCAAGTTGCCCAGGCGGGTCTCAAACCCACAGGCTCGGGCAATCCACTCACCTCAGCCTCCCAAGGCGCGGTATTACAGGCTGAGCCACCGAGCCCGGCTTGGGCTTCCATTTTAAGTTCATATTTGTGTGGGGGATGAGGGTGGGTATTTGTATATCATAGATTATGCAGGGGATTGCAAACTATACAGGCACTTTTAAAACAGAATAGGAGAGTTCAAGGTCATTTCTTGCTAGTGACTGCTTTAGGAGACCCAGATTCCGTCTTCAGTACCCGGGAAAGTCATATGAATCCTCAACTCAGATGCAAAGGCCCTCTGGAGAGCTGGGCTAAAGTTTTCACTGTGTTTGGGCTGCAAACCCTCGAGCTCCCTGGGCTGTGAGAAGGAGGCTGAGGAGTGCCCGGGTGCTGGCTAGGATGCGTGCAGGGCGGTCCCAGGTTCCCAGGGCTGAGTATCCCTGATCCTCCCCAGAGCACCATGACCTCATGGCTTGCATGCTGCCTGCGGCTGAGACAGAAAGACAGGCGGGTAGATAAGGAAGAGGAGAAGATAAGAAAAAGGAAGAGGAGAAGGAGGAGGAGGAGGAAGGGGAGAGGAAAAAGAGGTTTCTTAGCTAGCCAGCCAGACTGGTTCAGATTCCTTTTGGGCAAGAAAAAGCAAAATTGTCTTCCCACATCCTTAGATTCTCTGTCCATTTCCTAACGTGACTGGAAGAGCAGAGAGTTGCGACAGGGCCACATTCAGGGCAGGCCTCCACTATGCGGCAGACATCTGATCACTCGCCAGGAGAATCAGGGTAGGCAGATGAGGGTGATGGTGCAGGATGGTAGCTGATCCATCAGCATGTCTTCCTGGGGAAAGAGGATTTTGAAGTTTTGGAGGTAAAGTCTCAACTGCTAAGCCAAGTATATTCCGAGACAGGTCTTAGTTCTGGCCTTGTGGGATTTAAGGGCACAGAGGTGTGGTGAACACGGGCAGCTACACTCCATGGAGTTGAACTTCCCTCCTTCACCATCCCACAGGGGTTTCAGTTCCTTGGGGGATCTTTCAGACGAGCAAAACTAACCCAGACACAAGCTGTTACAGCCGTCTCTTAGACGGGGAGAGGGAGACTTGGACAGGGTGAGCAGAGCAGCCAAAATGATATTTATTTGACTGTCTGTCCAGTATCACAAAAGAGATGCCTTAGAGTTAGGGGTGTCCCTGGCCACGGGCTCCAGTCCCTGTAGCGTCCTGCAGTGCTCTGTGAGACCAACTGGCTTTCTTAAACCAGTCATGTCAAGAACGTGCTGGCAGGTGAGCACTTGGAGATAATACCGTTTCCTGTGGAATGCCACGACGTACTGCAAAATTCAGCTGTAAATAGATATCCAGTTTGGGCCAAGCCAGCCTCCACCTTCTACCAGATTCCCACATAGATCAGGGGTGGCAGGATCCAAAATTACAAGATTTGAGGAGGTGGGGGGAGGGGAAGGATAGACTGAAAACAGAGACAGTTCTGCCCACGGTTAATTGTTTGCCTTGCCCTGCTACTTCGAGAGATGGCTGTGACTGGACTTTGGAGGGAGGCATTCTCTGAGAGCCACGCCTTTGCAAATGAGAGTAGCAAGCTGCTGCCACAGCCGCGACTGAGTGTATTTCTTCTGGCGCAGAAGGCGTTAGTTAGACTGCCTTTACCCAAGAGGCGTGGAGGTGTCCCCGAAGGCAGAGGCCATTTCTGTGCCCCTTAAGATGCCTGGCACACCACCTCACACAGGGTTGAGGGAAAGGAGATTGAATGGATTGAAAGGAAGCTGAACTGGACTTTAAGGGGTTAACCCTCACTTATTCAGAAACCTCAGTTTAGCCCTATGTTCCTCCTCTCTTCCCCAAGGCTTTTACCAGAGCTAACTCGTCCCCCAAATTTTTGGCCTTGACAATGATAGCACTCCATATTCTTCAAGCTGTGAACCTCAGGGGCCAGGAGAAGAGGGATAGGGTACTAGAATAATCACCTGGGGGGAGTGGTCCCCAGTAGTGGAAACAGAGTCCAGATTGCCGTGCTGTTCTCTCCACCTCCCTGCAGTGCCTGGCCCCTGGCCAAACACAACACTAACGCCAGCAACAACTCCGAGGAGAAGTAAGTACTCACCCTTGCTGCCAGCAGAGCCCTAGCCTTCCCCAGTTCCAAGGATCACTCTCCTCCCCGTAGAAACCCCGGCTTTGCTTCTCTCCTTAAATGTTCCTACTCCACACCCTCCCAAGACACCAGTAGAATATTCTAGAATCCTGTTCCTTTCCTTGGAAATCCATCCCCCTGGACAGAAGGGGGTAAAGGACAAGGTCCGCATGACTTCTTGGGGAAAGTCGTTTGATCTCTTTGGCTCTCATTTTTCTTATCTGTAAAGCAAAGGGGCTGGATCAGCTAAATGCTTTGAACTTTAACATTCTACATAGCTACATGTTTGGGCATGAAAATGAGCTTCTTTACAGATCAGTGGATATTTTCCTTAATGAGGAAAATGCATTTTTAAATTCCACAACCTCAAGCTGCTGTGTGCCAGTGAAATGACCTTGCCTTGAGGCCAATTCCGGCCAATCTTGAGGGTATCATCAGGGCGTGAAAAGAGGAAATTTAAATATTTCCAGAGAACAGTCTCTTGAAAGGGTGACCTGTAATTACTTTCGGCAGATGCTGAGCTGGCAGATTAGTTTGACATGTGATTTTCGCAGGTGCCACTCATGAGCCCAGGGAGTGTGTGACATGTGTGTGAGGTTGTATGTCTGCACTGGCATGTGTCCATGTGTGCACAATTCTCCATGCTCACCACTTCTTTACAAAATGCTGTGAGTGGAGGTCTCAGTTGAATGTTGGGGGAAAACCATCAATATCAGACAGAAATGCCAATTTCTTGACTTCCAGCTGATAGGCCAAGGGTTTTTCTTGTTGGTTCCCTCTCTGTTCCTTGCATAGATCTTTTTTTCTGTTTCTCTCCATGAAGGAAGCATGTATTTTGTTTGCATAAATTTGGACATCAAATCCAGAGACAAAATGCCAACAATAAAGAAAAAATTTAGCAGATTTCATCCATAAGACAATAACTACTGTGAAACATGCTTGATTCAAAGCCAAACCTGATATTAAACCCCCTTGAATCCCTGGTAGCAGGTCTCTCAGACAGGGAAAGGCTGAGGGCACTGGATACCTTGGACAGAGGTCTTGTGGGTCTCTTGGCTTCTTTGTCCTGGGGCTAAGGTGTGGACAAGGATGAGGATGGACAGTGTTGCTGCATCAGGCTCTTAAATATTTTCCTATGAGCTCAATTAATGGGTCCACACTGAAGTCAAGGACCAAGTCACAAAATTGGGAACTGTCCCCAAATGAAGATACCTGGACATGGAAACAACTCTTTATGGATACCCTCCCCACTCTTCCATCACATTTCTGGTGAAAGAAAATTTTTCTTTTCTCCCCTCCCCATCAAACTGTTCCCAGCCAAAACCAGCATTATTTTCCAGCTCTATGCAGATTCTTTTGGGGCAGCTCTGGGTGGATTTCGGGACACATCTGGATGGTACCAGGTCTTTACTAGGCCCCCGGCAGTTAGCCAAGATCTGTAACCCAGAGTCACAACTCCTGGACAAGGCAAGCTGAGCCTAATGTTATTAAACGCCATGCAGAGTGAACCATGCCCAATAAGCTTGAGGGTAGCGCTCTCTGCTGGTACCTTGACATTAATTCTCCAGTGGCAGAAAGTGGTTCACATCACAGAGGATGAGTACCTGTTCTTGCTCTTCTCGGGTAACAATTTTAATAATCTCTTATTCTTATCCACTTTATTGAGACACTCATTGCTGAAAACTTGGAAGACAATAAAAAGCACCCACGAGCATACACACACACAAAGTACACTTCATGTCAACAGTGTTCCACTGTCAGAGATAACCTCTCAACGTGTTGGCCAATATCCCTCTAACTTTGTTCTAGGCATATATGTTGAATAAATAGGTAGATATAATACATTTAATATGCACGCTTGTTAAGAGCATATGTATCCCAACTCAGTTACCTGAGAGCTTTATGACCTTGGGCAAGTTGCCCGATTTCTCTGTGTATCAGTTTCCTGATTTATAAGATAGTGGTTGACAATTCCTGATCAAAACCCCAAATGTCCGTGCCACAAGAGATAAGACAGACAAGTGGGACCTCATCAAACTGAAAAGCTTCAGTAAAGCCAAAGGAACCATCAAGAGAGTGGGGAGACAGTCCACAGAATGCGAAAAAATATGTGCCAAGTGTATATCTGACAAAGGCCTGACATCTAGGATCTACAAGGAACTCAAATGTACCGAAAAGAAAAAAACAAACAGCCTTATCAAAAAGTGGGCAAAAGATATGTATAGACACTTTTCAAAAGAAGACATATAAGCAGTTAACAGATACATGAAAAAATACTCAACCTCACGAATCATCAAAGAAATGCAAATTAAAACCACACTGAGATACCACCTAACTCCAGTCAGGATAGCCATCATCAATAACTCAAAAAACAACAGATGCTGGAGAGAACGCAGGGAAAAGGGAAAGCTTCTACACTGTTGGTGGGGGTGTAAACTAGTACAGCCTCTGTGGAAAACTGTGACAATTCCTAAAAGATCTAAAAGTCTATCTTCCATATGACCCTGCAATCTCTTTTCTGGGAATATAACCAGAGGAACTCAAATCGCTTTATGAAAAAAATACCAGCACACGCACATTTATTGCAGCATTATTCACAATAGCAAAAACATGGGACCAACTGTGCTGTCCATTGAAAGAGGACTGGCTAAAAAAAAAATGTGATACATATACACAATGGACTATTACACAACCATAAACAAGGACAAAATCATGAACTTCACAGCAACTTGGATGAACTTAGAAGCTGTAATACTCGATGATCTATCACAGAAACGAAGAACTGAGTACATGTTCTCACTCTTAAGCAGACCTTGAATGATTATGGTAATACTATAAGGAAGGAATTGGCAATGGTGGCGCTGCCAGAGGAGGTGGGAGGGACACCTCAGCAACAACAGTACCTGCATAATGACCTTTTGTATACCTAACCCTGAATTGTACCCCACATCTTTAAAATAAATAAATAAAATAAAATAGGGGTTGGAATAGTATCTTATTTACAAGAAAGGGTAAAGACTAAATGTATGTTAATATATATGCAATGCTTAGAATAGAACCTGATACATAGTAAGTGCTCAACAAATATTGACTAGTGTGGTAGGAAGAACATTCTCCTCCAAAATATGTCCACTGTCTCAATCCCTAGAACCTGTAAATAGGTTACCTTATACGGCAAAGGGGACTTTGCAAATGTGATTAAATTTGAGGTCCTTGGGATGGGTAGATTATCCTGGGTTATCACAGTGGGCCAAGTATAATCACGCGAGTCCTAAAAAGCAGAAGGAGGGCAAAGAGAAGGTTAGAGAGGTTAAACTGAAGAAGAAGGAGAGTCACAGTGTGAGCGGACTTCACCCATCACTGCTGGCTTTGAAAATGGAGGAAAGGGGCACAAGCCCAGGAAGCAGCAGACTCTAAAATCTGGCAAGAAGGCAGGGACTTTTGTT